TGGCACATGGGAGATAGTTAATAAGAGTCTCTTGAATTTAACTGAATGAAATTTCTAACCAGAATTAATCCCGAGCACTGAACCTAGTTGTATAATTTTACTATGTATCCCCCTGGGTGATCCACAGGTACCTTATTTTGCACATTTCTATGTCATATTTGCCCTTTGCATGTTGCAAATCTTATATAACATTGCTTGTTGGAATGCCCTTTCTTCTAAAGCTGGTAAACTCCTCCAGACCTTCGAACCCTGTATACTGTCAGGAACTTTCCTGGGTACTCCCCAAAGAAAAGAAATACTCCTCCCTTCATGCTACCTATAAATTTTTACTCTGTTCTACTGCATTTAGACCCCAGAATTACAATTATTGCTAGTATCACTATGTTCCTAAATCTGCATATATATGACATATATAAAAGTTATAGAACTTAATAAAATTTAGAAAAAAGAATTAAAGGAAAACCAAGTGAGAAAAACATTTATTTGAAAAGCAGAATGGCAAAGAGGTGAGACAGAGATCTGTCCACTGGTTCACTCCTCAAATGGTGACCGTGGCAGGGGCTGGACCAGGCCAAAGCCAGCACCCCAATCTCCACCCGGGTTTCCCACGTGGGTGGGTAGGACCCTAGTACTTGTGCTATCTCCTGCTGCTTTCCCAGTCACATTAGCAGGGAGCTGGATGGAAAGTGGAACAGCTGGGACTTGAAATGAATGTCAGTGTCACAGGCAGCAGCTTGACCCCCTGTGCCGCATTGCCAGCTCCTATAATTATTTCTTTCTGTGCTTGGCCAACAGCATAATTATAGTAGTCTGATAAGTACGTCTGTTGACGTGTAATGAGTGCTTAAGAGAGTACCTGATCTGCTTGGAGGGTTATGTTTGGGAGAAGCCACTGCTGGGGAAATCAAAGGAGGGCAGAGGTCACCTCAGCCAACCTCTTCATGTTCTCTTGGGGAAACTGAGGCCCTGACAATTTGACCCTCAATTTCCCCATCTGGAAAAATGCCTGGTGACCTGGGATCTAAGTCATAAAGTAGCAATTATTTCTACTCTCCTGATTCTCTACTTTTTGAAAGGCAAAGCATTTTGATAGAATGTCAGTGAACTGCAAGGAAAAATAGCTCCGAAAGCTGACGAGCGCCCCGAGAGTCTCAGAGGTACATGGTGATTGGAAACTTGGCGATTTCCTTGCCTCCACAGATTGTGTCTTTACTGAGTGTACAGCAGATAGCCAACTGGACTCAGTACACATTGTCTGTTTCAAAAGCGCACGTGCTGGGGCCGGCGCCATGGCGCAGCAGGTTAATCCTCCGCCTGCGACGCCAGCATCCCATATGGCCACCGTGTTCTAGTCCCGGTTGCTCCTCTTCCAGTCCAGATCTCTGCTGTGGCCCGAGATGGCAGTGGAGGGAGGATGGCCCAGGTGCTTGTGCGCCTGCACCTGCATGGGAGACCAGGAAGAAGCACCTGGCTCCTGGCTTCGGGTCAGCATAGCTCCAGCTATTGCGGCCATTTGGGGAGTGAACCAACGGAAGGAAGACCTTTCTTTCTCTCACTGTCTGTAACTCTATCTGTCTAATAAATAAATAAAATCTTTTTTTAAAAAAAGCACACATGCTGGTATGCATTTCTATGGGACGCTGAGATAAGCCAGCTTCAGTCTCTGAGGTTATCACTTTCTGTAACAACTGTGTTTGCAGAATTTGAGGAACTGACTGCCCGAAGTTTCAGAAAGCCTCTGTCACAAATGTACGATGGAATTCTGATGGCAGATTTCACAGGTGTAAATCTCATAGTTGTTTTTTTTTAATTTTTTTTTTTAAGAAGCTTATTTATTTGAAAGGCAGAAGGACAGAGAAGGAGGGGGAGAAAGAGAGAGATCAATCTTTTATCCACTGGTTCATTCCCCAAATGGCTGCAACAGCCAGGGCTGGACCCGGTCAAAATCAGGAATTAGAAACTCTATCTGAAGTCTCCCACGTAGACGGCAGGGGCCCCAGTACTCGAGCCGTCATTCACTGCTTTCTCAGATGCAGTGGCCAGGGAGCTGGACTGAAGGCAGAGCAGTGGGGAATTGGGACTCCAGTCGGAATGCCAGCATGCAGATAGCCCTCTGCACCACACCAATCTCACAGTTCACACTCTATCAGTGGCAAGTATTTGAGCTGTCATCTGTCACAGGAGCATATTCCAATGAGAGAGTTCCAGGCACAAATAAACAAAAAGTAAATCAAATTCCAACAGTATTTGAAACGATGGCAGTTTCTAAGGTAAGGCTGTCCCGAGAAACATTGCTGGCCACCCAGTTCCAGGTTACATTCAGGGAACTTATGTGGTACATTGGACTAGACAGACCTCAGACGTGGAGCCAGAGGGGAAGTGCAAGGATCAGTTAATGGGTTTGGTGATTTTCAGAAAGTAATGTAACTTCTGGAGCCTTGTTTTCTCCATCCGTAAGGTGGGCATACTTGTTCTAGCCCATGGAGTTCCTATGACGATCAAAGAAGGTCAAGTACGTGAAAGTGTTTATAATCTTCAAAGTTTCCATGGTGATTACAATAAACAGAGAATCTAGAGATGAAATCAAAGTATCAAGCTTAAATCCAAGTGCTCTGCCTGATTTCTGTGTCTATGAGAAAAAATGTTTACTTTTTACTGCCCTGTGAAATAAAAACAAACATATTAATGTATATTCAAACATGTACTTTAGAGAAAAATGTAAGAATGATATGGGATTATACATGGTTATATGTAGCAGTGTAGAAACAGAAGATAAGCACCTTCTGAAAATAAATTAAATAGTATGAAAAGTCTAAAAGAAATAAGAATTGCTGGTGAGGATGTGGAGAAAAGGGAACCCTGGCACACTGTTTGTGGGAATGTAAATTTGTACAATCATTGTAGAAAACAATATGGATTGTCGCTCCCCGTCTTCGTGGAGGAACAACACAGGACCCTGCACTGTTCTTTTGTCTGCTCGGCCCTCCCCGGGTTTGCTGCTGGTTCTTCCCGGGTTGGCTACCGACCCTTCCACCTCCGTGGAAGGGCGGTTCCCCCTAGCCACTTTCCCCACTTCCGCAGGGGAGCGGCACACCGCCGGCCGGCTCTCTCGGGGGCTGCTCAGATGTTCCTGGTGCATGTTGTCTCTCTCCTCCTTTATAGTCCTCTTCCACCAATCCCAACTCTGCTACCCACACGCCGAGTATGCTGCTCTCCTCCAATCAGGAGCAGGTCCTGCTGCTTCTTGGTTGAACTGGAGGCAGCTGTGTAGAAGCTGTTACTCCTCTCCCAGCGCCATATTGTGGGAGAGCAGATGCATAGAATAAGTCTTAATTCCAATAACAGTCTAGTCCCAGTTGCTCCCAGTTGCTCCCCACATGGATGTTTCCCAAAAAAACTAAAAGTAGAACCACCGTATGATCTAACAACCTCAAAACTGAGTGTATATCCGGGGGAAATGAAGCAACGTCCGCACTCCCATGTTTATTGCAGCGCTGTTCACAATAGCCAAGGAATAGAAGCAAACTTAGTTTCCATCAACTGATGAATGGATAAAGAAAATATGGTTTCAACAACAGGAGTCACTGTGCACTTGCTCCCCATGTCGGACCTTTGTTCTTAATGAGTTGTACTATGAGAATTAACAATAAAACTCATCTTCAAACAGTACTTTGTGTGTCTGTGTGGGTGCAAACTGATGAAATCCTTACTTAGTATAGAGTTGATCTTCTGTATATAAAGGTAATTAAAAATGAATCTTAATGAAGAATGGGATGGGAGAGGGAGTAGGAGGTGGGACAGGAATGGCGGTGGGAGGGCAGGCATGGGGGGAAGAACCACTATAATCCCAAAGCTGTACCTATGAAATTCATATTTATTAAATAAAAGCTTTCTAAAAAAACTAAAAGAAATAAATGTGGTGGAATACTATTTAGCCATAAAAATGATTAAGTAATTTGTAGCGTCATGGATGAAACTGGAGGGCATTATGTTAAATAATAAGTGCAGTGCAAAAGGACAAGTACTATATCGTATCACTCATATGAGTAATCAACAAAAGACAATTCTGAATAAGTTAAGAGTATAATAGTGGTTGCCAAGGTCCAGGAGGAGTAGGGTGAAGGGTAGGGCAGGGGAAGTTTGTTTAATGAGTACTAAGTTTTAGCTAGATAGGAGAAAGTCATGATGCTGTATTGCACAGTAGTGTGATTACAGATAATGCTAATAAACTGTGTTTTTTCTAAACAAACTATTAGAAGGATTTGCATGGTTTCACCACAAAGAAATGATAAATGGGTAAATGAGAAATATGTTTACCCTGATTGGACATACACAATGCATTCACATATCAAAACATCACATAGTATCCCATAAATGTCAATTAAACATTTAAAAAAAAACAGAAAAATTAAATCAAAACTTTTTTTGACAGGTAGAGTTTTAGGCAGTGAGAGAAAGAGAGAGAGAGAGAGAGAGAGAAAGATCTTCCTTCCATTGGTTCACCCCCCAAATGGCTGCTATGGCCAGCACTGCGCCGATCCGAAGCCAGGAGCCAGGTGCCTCTTTCTGGTCTCCCATGCGGGTGCAGCAGCCCAAGCACCTGGGCCATCCTCCACTGCCCTCCCAGACCACAGCAGAGAGCTGGACTGGAAGAGGAGCAACCGGGACTAGAACCCGGCACCCATATGGGGTGCTGGTGCCACAGGTGGAGGACTAACCAAGTGAGCCACAGTGCCGATCCCCCAAACTTTAATAAAATGTATGAGAAATAGCTGTATGCTCAGTACTGTGTTGTCATGTTTTTAGTATCATAATGAAACTGTGAAAGAAACATAATCCAACAAAAGTGAAGGTTACTGTGAACTTTAGTCTCTGAGCTTTTGTGTGCAATCTAATCAAAATTACTTTAGTTGTTTTAATTATTAATATTAATAATTTATTAACTATTGGAAAGCCAAAGAAAACTGTGTTGTAATAGTATGTGTTTTATTGCTTAAAAGTCTGTCTGTAGGACATAGTCCTTAAAAATAATAAGCACTAGGAATACAATTCTATTCCTAGTTACAAATGGTAACATAAGGTTAAGAAGCAGCAATAGCTAAGATTGCATTTAGTAATAAGCAAAGAACTCTAGGCCAGTTTTTAAAGATTAATTTATTAATTAGGTGAACATCTGAGTTTTGGTTCATCACTTCTTTTGGAGACCTTGATTAATTTATGAGATTTCATCCTAATTTACTTAAAAAGCAGTGAGTCACCCAGTGCTCACACCAATGATGGCCAAAGTTAATTGGATTCTAGGTCCTTTCACATTTTCCCCTTCAGCGACTCCTTGCCTTCTGAGTGGAACCATGCATTAAGGCAGTCTGTATTTGTGTGTATGTGTGTGTGAGAGAGATACAGAAATAAGAAGAGTGAGAAGCAATTGAAAAGTGAATTTGAAAAAAACAATCCATATTTATATTTCTTGTGGTTTGTAGTGAGAAAGTCTGGGGGATACACAAACAGCCAAACCCCAAATCAAAACCCAAACCTCATAAGCACATCACCTGGGTGTCCACTTTTTATAGGGTTTTGATTTGTGAATCCTGTGGTGATTACCTTTCCAAGAAAGGCTGTTGATGATAGAGCATTAGTGTTTTAGGGCTAGGTTTAGGAAGGGAAGTCCAAGACGCAGCTCTAGTTCATTGCAGCGAGGTGTGCCCACTGAGAGCAGAGAGGACAGCCCAGCGCAGCAGCAGGGAAGGGCTGGGGGCAGCTGGGGTGGCTGCAGAATTGCACAGATGGACCGGCTGGCTCCGAGCCCTGCAGTGGGGTTGCTGCATTTCTCCGGCACTGTCACAAATTGCATTCAGCTCAGAAGCTCCTATATGGATGCTCACTTGCATTTGCCACATGATCTCGGGGGTGGAAAACAACACCCACAATGAAGGGGAATTCACCTCACTGGATATTCACCTCATTTGTGCTTTCACGGTGTCTCTCGTTCCCTCACCGTGTTTTTCTTACCAAGCTGGTTTTTTGGACATAGTCTATCTTGTTATATTATGCGTTTTATGAGCTATCCTAAATCCTTTCCTGAGCTGGATGGAGTGTGAATACTCATATAGGTAACACTCTGGGGGGATGTTAGCAGGTTATTTCAGAGAGGTAAAATTACAAGTGATTTTGGTTATCTTACAGCAGCAAGTCATCTGCATTTCCAGGTATACATGTATTTTTACAATGAGCATCGATTCATTTTCTAATTAGATAAAGCAGCAAAATGGAAAGACAAACTGTGTGGTAGGACTTTTCCAGAAGAAAAATATATAACGGTGATAGAAAAGACTAAAAAGAAATTATCTGACTTAATCTGTTTTTCACCTTGTGCTTTCTATGGAAACCTGAGAGGGGCAGTGCAAATACAGTGGTTTGCTTGAAACATTTAAAAAAAGAGACTCTATTCTTCAACTTCCTTTTTCTATTCAAAATAATAGGCCACAAGGCAGCAAAATTTTCATTTTAATAGTTTTATCTCTGCTTTGTTGCATATTGGGAAATAAGGTTAAAAAATCTAATTCTATGATCTGACTTTTATGTAATATTTTATTCTCTAAAACAAACAAGGTCACATAAAAGCAAAAACAGAATAACTTACTTGTTATCTTTTCTTGGACAAAAATAAAAATAAAGCTTACATCATTTCCTTAAGCATTTATGAGTCTTTTTGCAATTACCATTGGTGATTGATAATCAAGGAAAAGACATAGTCTTACTTTTGTGACAACCATCATTATTTTGTGGTACAAATAACAAGAAAGAAATTCATAAAAGAAAAAATATTTGGAAAGCTTACCAGGAATGAGAGTTATAAAACAAAGTCTGCTGAAAAAAAGCTTACAAATATGGTTGAGATAGGAGAGTGTCAATGTTTCTGAAAGTGAAAGTAGAGTAGAGCTTTCTCCCTCCTAGTGGGCATGTCTCACATTCCTCTGTTGCACAAGACAGTATTTGCAGACTGGAAACCTGCAGTCCCACTTGTATAAAAGTCTCTACTCTGAATTTCAAAGAAGTGATGAGTAAGAAGATGTGGACTTGACTTCTTCACTGATTCCAGATGGATATTTGTTGCCACTGTTTTTCTCAAATTTCCACTATTTTCCCTTCAGTATTTCATTCCAGCATACTGCTTTGCCCATGACAGCTCACCTGGCAAGGAGATATATAAGACATGCAGAGTGTTTTATGGATTCTGAGTCTACAGGTAAAAGAAACTTAAATATTTTTATTTCTTTTTTATAGCTACAAATAGTATGAGATTTTAAGATAGTTCAAGAAAACTGTGTTTACCAGTTGATAAATTAGAAGAGTAAGCAATCATTAAATTCTGTACATAATTTCCTTTTAAAACTAAAGGATTACTTATTTGAATATTGTTTTTAAGACACCTACAGTCAGCCTTGAGTTCAAAACAACCATATCCAGAATATTTAATGAGGTCAACAGAACAGCGTTTAAATAAATGCAGCCGTAAGTTAGGTAAAGAATTGGGCTGAGTGCTAGAACAGGAACACAGACCAATTTAGCAAGCTGTTAAACATCGTCCAATTAGGTAACAGACCATGTCTTCAAGAAAATAATCTAAGAGTCAAAGAATAGAATTGTTTGGCTGTCTTTCCTACCTCACACGTGACTGTCAAATAAAGGAAAAAGAATGCACTGAGTTAGGATCCTTTACCCTGAGCTGGTCCATCCGCTTTGGGGTTGGAGGATGGGAGACGTTCACTAACCACCTATAGTACTTCACTATTCAGGAAATTGATCTTTGAATTCAATTAGATGTAGAGGATAAAACCATAGACAATCCAGAGAGAAAAATGGTCTCTGCATCTGTAGCCAACACATTCTATTGAGGAATATTTATTTTATGAAGGATCACTTATCTTTAGGTAAAATAAGCAAACAAGAGCCCACTAAACTATTATTTAATTTCTCTCTCTAGCACATAATAAATGTCCTAGAGATGTGGATTATTTGTTAATAAAATAAGTACAGGGACTAGCCTTTTGGTCCAGCAGTTAAGATGTTTGCATCCCAAATCAGAGCCCCTGGTTCTCATCAGGGCTTTACTTTTGCTTCCAGTTTCCTGATCAATGTGCATGCTGGGAAGCAGCAGGTGAGTGCTCAAAGTACTTAGGTCCCTGTCACCATGTGAGAGACCTGGATTGGGTTCCTAGTTCCTGATTTTGGCCTGGCCCAGCCTTGGCTGTTGTGGGCATTTGGTGAGTGAAGCAGTGGAACGGAGTTCTCTGTCTGCCTGCTTCTCTGATAACAACAACAACAACAACAACAACAACAAAATGTTTGCTGATAAAAACATCCTACTTATTCATTTTAACAGAATAGATAACATGAATCTGTATTCAGAGAGGATAACATTTATAAATTTGTACAATTATTATGTGTCAACCAGAGAGAGAGAGAGAGAGAGAGAGAGAGAAAGGATATTCTCCTAACTTTATTCCAGAAAGTAGAGAGAATTAGGTACTATTTTAGAGTTTTATTTTTAAGCTGTCTTGGAATTACATCCCTCTCTTGTAGAATCCTATTAGGTTAATAACAACATACTTTGCATATTTCTTTTATTTTCACACCAGAAGTTCCTGGCTCCAAGGGGTCTTTTCCTTATTTATCTGATTCCAGGTACATTTTCTCTGATGCAGTACTCTGCTGTTTCTTGCACTTTAAATGATTGCCTTGGTCCCCCAAGGACTGATGGGTTCTGGCCCCATCAGAGGAGTTCCCATTCACTCCTGGCTGTTATTTTTGCTGTTTACCCAGAGGTGTGCAGCGATTACTTTGTTGGCTCTGTCTTTTGCCAGAGGGGAAGTTCCTCTGTGTGGTTTCTGATGTGCTTTTCAAAGTCAGTAATGACAAATAAAGAAATGACGGAAGATGATATGCGGCAGTTATGCCCATAGGCTGCTGCTACAGCCCACACGAAACAGATGCGCATTTCATTATTTCAAAAGCATGTGGGTGCTCTTTCTCCGGGCAGGAAGGGGGCAGGCTCCTTGATGGCAGCCTTGAGATGGATAAGCAGTTTGCCTGCTATGCCTCGGAGTGGGTTTTGTTCTCTCTGGGTGAGAGATGAGTCCTGAGTCCTCACTTCTCTATTCAACTGGGAATAAATGGCTATGTTAAAATATTTACCTATTTGAGAGGGAAGGAGGAAGGGTAGGAGGCAGGAGTGGAGAGAGAGAGAGAGAGAGAGAGAGAGAGAGAGAGAGAGAGAGAGAGAGATCCAGAGATCCAGAGAGAGATCCAAACATTTGCTAATTCATTACCCAAATGCCCACTACAGGCTGGGCTAGTCTGAAGCTGGGAACCAGGAACTCAATTGAGTTTTCTTTGTGAGTGGCAGAGACCCAATCATGTTGCCTTGGGGCATCATGCTGTTTCCCAAGGATTGGATTAGTGGGAAGCCGGAGTCAGGAGTGGGTGCTGGAGCCAGGAACCGAACCTAGGCACTCTGATATGGGACACAGCATCTCAGCCTTAAGGCTGAATGTCTGACCTGGGAACAGACTGCTTTGAATCATGAGAGTTTGGGCTTTTGATGCTAACTGTGCTGTGGATCTCCTTAGTTCTTTTCTCTTCCTGGTCCTGTTTGTAGTGACAGATCATCACAGCTCTAACGCTAGCATAGCCACTGGAAAATCGCCAAGATAACCAATATAGTTTGAGAACTGGCCTGGACATTCCTTTCACACCCAGATGTGGATTCCCTGGGGGAGAAATGTACACAGCAGACTGTTGAATCTGGAGCTTGGCTTCGGGGCCACAGGCCCAAGTGTGTGTCCCCAGAAAGTATTTGTGTATTTGCCCATTTTATTTCTCAAGATTATTTTCAGATGGGTAAGTGTTCTGTGCATTTTCAAACGTATAGAAATGATCATTTCCCGTTTCAATATCTTTCTTCTGCATCTTCCAATGCAGCCACAGGCTAAATGCTGAGCTGTTCTGCAGCACCAGCAAATGGGGCGAGATTCATACTTACTCAGGGTGATCTAGCTGTTGGGCAGGGATGTGCTGAATAACTTCATAAATGGTGCTGTGCAAGTCTTGCCCTGATACGCCCTCAGAGCCTCGGACAGACCTACTTGGCATCTGGAAAACATGAGATATGAAGAGCAAAGGACATTCCCAGTATGCTTTTGAAAACAATGGGCAGTATTTGTGATTTGAGAAGTGTTTACCATTCTAGAACGTTCATTTCCTCCTTGCTACAGTTCCCTGCACTTACCCTACGGGAGTTTGTTCAGCAGCATAGCTCTAAGCTCACAAGAGGAAGAGCTTGACAGAGCTATCACTTCTTTCCTTCTAAGAAGAAAGATGCCAGGACTGTAAAGGAAATAAAGCAGAAAGAAAAAATAGCAAAAAGGGAGCTATCAGGACAGCTTATTATCAGAAAGCATAAGTGATCATTTATTCTGCTACATCTCAGTTACCCATTGACAGTATTTGCCAATAACATGCCCAAGAGTGGCTTAAAAGAAAGGGTTCTGTACAGATTGGAGCCCTCATCCCATTATGAGTGATGAGAGTAGCAAGATCTAGAAAACACAAAGGGAGATGCTTTGGCTTGAACGTATAGGGCTCTGAAAATTGAAGTCTTAGGTGAGTGTGGAAAGAATACTACTGTGTTTGGTAAAAAATAAAAAACAAAACAAAACAAAGCCCCAAAGCAATTATCTTATTGAAACTGATGTTTGTGCTTCTTTATGCTTCATAATTTCCTCCTTCCTGTGAACACTGTCTTCCAATTATTTAGGCCAAATCTGTTTTTTTCACATCTCAAATGCTTTTTCTTTTAAATTCATATTCCAGCTCACTTCGGCCCTTCATATTTCTATAACTCAAAACAGTGAGAGACTCAATGCCCTTGGCAGGTCTGAGGAGTTCTCTTATCTCATCCCAACTTGACCTGCTAGGATATAATGAAACATTTTAGCTTTATGATTTCTGGACACCACCTGTTCCTATTCCACTTGCTAAAGCTCTCAGGGGCAACTCCGCCACATGTGATTTGTCCTAGTATTTCTGTGTCTAGGAGATTTGGGCTTGCAGTTTGCATTTGAGGTCAACTCTTGCTTTTCTTTGGCATAAGGTAGTCAGGGGCTATGGTATAAACAGTCTACAGATGATCCCTAATCTGCTCACCTAACCTAGCATTAGTGCTGTTAAAGAGTAAAGTGTCCATCTCATGCAATTGCCTTCTGTCTCATTCCCGAAAAGAGGTGTTAAATGGACAGTGAAATGTACAACAGGCAGAGACATGCTCCATTTGTACGCATGTCACAATAAGCCAATAAATTATTTTTATTTTAAAAAACTTACAATAATTAGTAGTTCAATGTGTCTTCTGTCTATACTTCAACTTTGTGATTTTGGTTTTATTTTCACTTTCTCTTTTCTTCTTAAGGCCCTTGGATATGGCTGCTGATTTTCCCATACAACTGCCATTCTGTGATTCTCCATGGACTCTCTTCCCTTCTCCTCCTTGGGTTGCTTTTTTTTTTTTTTAAGAATCATTTTATTTATTTGAAATGAGGAGAGGGAGAGGGGGAGAGGAGGAGGGGGGAGGGGGCAGGGGGAGAGGGAAAGAGGGGGAGAGAGGGAGAGAGGGAGAGAGGGAGAGAGGGAGGTCTTCCATCTGCTGGTTTACTCCCCAAATGGTGTCAACAGCCGGGGATGGGGCAGGCTGAAGCCAAGGCCCAGGAGCTTCTTCCAGGTCTCCCACATAGGTGCAAGAGCCCAAGAACTTGAGCCATCTTCCATCACTTTTCCAGGTGCATTAGCAGGGAGCTAGATTGGAAGTGGATCAGCTGGGACTCAAACTACAGCCCACTACCCACAGGGCCTTCCTGGGTTGCTGGTTTTGATTCCTCCTTTCTTCCTGGAACCACACGGCATGGACAACTAAGAACCCCAGCAGGTTCCCCAGGAGTATTTGCTTTGAAGATGAGCATGGCTCCAGTCAAGTTATTCTGTTCACGACAGAAATAAGCAGGGCTGCTGACAAGTACTCAAAGCACCAGTTCTTCAGAACTAAAACCTTTAGAGCCAGTTGACGTCCTCCCAGTCAGTACCTAGGCTGAGTACCCCAGTCAGTACTCAGGCTGAGTACTCATTAATCACAAGGCTAAGTTTAAAGTGTCTTACATAAATCGCACTGCTTTCCAATGAATTCCTGGAATGAAAAGCATGCATTATTTTAAATAAACTCCTTGCTGCAAAAATTCCATTACATGTCTTCTTAGCACTTTAGTTTTCTGCTTTCCCATTTGAAGCCATGCCTTGGAGGGAGCTTCCTGCCAATGCAAGAAGCTGTTTGACATAACTGATCTGCCCAATTTTATTTTCATCTCTTTGGTTGTGGAACTGGAGCGTGAGTGAAACGGGCCTAGGATTGGAAAGGGCATCGCCAGGCCCCTGCAGGCAGCTGTCCCCTGCACCTGAGATGCTGTGGCTGCCACCGCCACTGACTGACCCACCCTTCACCGCACGAAATCCCATCAGTTCCTCTCCATTACACACATGGCATTTCTGAAGTCTGTGGCCAGGAAACTCACCGGGCGAGGCTTACGCGCCAATGGAACACTCTGAACATGAGAAGGAAGCATTTCCTAAGGCAAACTGGTCTTTTACACAATGAGCGTGAGACTGTGCAGAGCAAGGAGTTGGTGTGTGGCCCCTTCCATAAGCGGACTCCTACCAAGGAAAGGGAAAGCGGGGGGGGAATCGTCCTGTAGAAATCCACAGAAGTGCAGGAACATCCTGTGTGTCTGTTAACACAGCTGAGGGCTGAAAAATGGCTTCAACCGTACGGAAGCCTCCCACTCCCATTTCACACACCTTGGGGTAATAATAAGGATGGAAACCTGCATGCCACAGTCTGTGCAGTGTGTTCCCTCTGATGAGCACGAGGTGCTTTTGGGGGCATGGCCAGCGATCTCTGCAGTGCACCCAAGAGATGGGGGGGGATGAAGAGCAAAGAGGAAGAGAGAGTTCTGTAGAGTGAGGAGCTGCGGTTATCAATGCGAGGTAGGAAGACTTCAACCAGGCTCTCCTGGCCCTCTGTTTATTCAGTGTTCCTGACCTTCGACCTCCCTACTGCTCTGAACTTCACGGGGCTCAGCAGGTCAAGATGCTTCTGAATTGGCATGATTGCCTTCTGAACTGTGTGCTGCATCACTGTGCTGATGCAGGCTGGGAGGCGTCTTAGCTTCCCAGAACCCAGCAGCACCATTCCTCATAGAGGAAGTGGTCATTTGCCCATGCTGCCCGAGTGCTCCCATGAGTGCTGCTTCCACCTGGGGTGGAGCACAGCTCTACCACGTGGTAAACCCACCACTAGGAAAACCAACCCTGGGAACACCAGAGGCATCCGGAAAGGCAACAAACTCATATATCCCGAAGTCGTCCAGTGCATCTTCATGGCCTGAAAAGGAAGCAGATGGTGCTTACAAACCAGATGCCTTTGGATTTGCTAGTATTGTCTTCAGAAACCTTGACTGTCTTAAGTGCTACGTGTATAAAGCCAGTTTAGCATTTCCTAATTACCTGTAGTGCTAATGCCATTAAGCACTGTGGGAAAGCATCCCCTGCAAATTTGAAACGATTATCCTTCGCCTGTTGTAGGAATTGTGGATGGAGTATTCAGATACACACATGCAGGCAAGCTTGTGCTTCATCCCCAGAGACTCATGGACCCCAAGGCTTCAGGCTGGAGGTCACAGAAGCCTTGGATCCACAATAATATCTACTGCACCCCACCAGATCTCACAGAGACCATCAGAACACATGAAGAGTAAATAAACAACTCCAGTTGCCCAAGCTTATAAAATACAGTGCAATAAAAACAAACTCCTCTAGGCCAATAACTGTGGAGTGATGGGGATGGAGGTGATAGGGAGGAATCACATGGTGTCTGGGGCCCTTGCCAGCTCTGACATTCAGTCACTTGTAAGTGAGGCAGGGCTGGGTAAGAGGAAGAAGACCCACGTTGATGAAGCATCCATGTATCATCTGAGGCACTCCACCTACATTATTTCCTTTAATTCACCTAGCAACACTCTCAGGGAGTTTCTGTCTCTATTATGGACATGAGGAAGTTGAGATCAGAAAAAAGAATTATTTTTCCCAAGAGGACTTAAGGGGAATGTGGCATGCAAGGGACTGCTCAAGTGACACCACGGTCTAAGCAAAAGCTCCATTGTAACAGCTGAGGACAAAGTCAACAGTGATGGTCGTGGGGGCCACACTGGGACAAAGGACAGAGCTGGCCCCTGTCAAGCCTCTCTCTCCCCTTCTTTTGGGAATGCAGCTGGCAGCATTAATTCTACCTTAGGAAGAAGCAAAATGAGAGAACCCCTTGGCATTTTCAAAGTAATAATAATGGATCCATGGACTAAGATTCAGCAGAACTCAGTAGCTGTGGGCAAGTGACTTAGTATCTCTGATCCTCACTTGTTCTGTCTGTAAAATGGAGTTGAGACTCGCTTAAGGCTTAGCCTACAGACTTGTGATTTTCATAAAACCAATGCAAGAGACAACACTTTGGAAAGTGAAGGCAGTCTTTAAGGGATCGCTGGTGTTACGTTAATGTGGGCTTTTGTTAATTTTATTACATTAATAGTACATTACATGAGTGCATAATCACTAATAGCAACATTATCAACATGCATTAATATTGATAATAGCCCTTTCCAGGCTGGTCTTTACCTGAAAATGTTTGAGCTTTCTTATATTCCGTTTCTGGCCTGAAAAGACAAATAAGTATTTCTGTCATGGATGATAACTGAAGAAAAATATTTAAGAAGAAAAAGTATTTCCATAGAAATATTTGTATTACCTGCTTTCTAGCTTCTGTTTTATAACTAAAACCAAGAGAGTAGAAAACACAGTCAGATATTTTTACCATCTATATATAAACCTTTCAAAGAAATTTTTTCTGATTTTAACCTACCTTTGTAGGGTTGATATTTTTTCCATAGAAAAAGAAGACACATGGATATAATCAGAAATAGTGAGATCCCAGTTATACTTGCTAATGGGGACAACGATTTCTCTTTCTGTGCAAACCTCTCCAGTCCTAAACAAAATGACAAATATATCGTTAGAAAAAAATCCCTGTATAAGTTGGCATGTATATGCTTTATCTTGATTCTTAAAATTTTCATTTACTTGGGAGGGGGATAGACAGAGAGACAGATAGAAAGCTCTCATCCACTGGCTCAATCCTCGGATTCCCACAATGGCAGAACTGGACTGGGCCAAAGCCAACAGTTGGGAACTCAGTCCAGGTTTCCCAGGTGAGTAGCAGGGACCCAGTCAGAGTCTGCATTAGCAGGAGGCTGGAGTGAGGAGCTGGATCTGGGTGTTGAACCCAGGTACTCCAATGTGGGATGAAGACTTCTCACTGTGCCTTGTCTTCAGTGAGATACTACTGCAACCACATATACATATATGCATACATATGTTTGTGTGTGTATGTGTGTGTGCATGCATGCATGACAGAGAGAGAGAGAGACATACACACACATACACACACACACCAAGGAAGGAATACACTTACTTTAGGAGATACAGGAAAGTCCATGGGAGTATCTGTGGCTGGCCATGTGGTGAGTGGCCCAAGGGAGGCCCTGACATGCTAAGCTAGGTGCAGCAAACCTATCACATTCTTAAGTGCAGACCATCAACAATTTCTCTATCACTTTCTTAAATGTAGATGTTATAGAGTGCAGCATCCTCTGACTTCTGAGACAGAGTATTTTCATCATCATTAATTTCACAACATTTTCCTAATTTTCACTGAGGTTTCTTATTTGATTGATGGGTTTATTTAGAAGTGTGTTACTTAATTTCGTTAAGTTAGGAAGCTTTCTAGTTTTCTCTTACCAACTCTTTGATCTCTTTCAAAGTATAATCCTTTGAAATTTGCTGATGTTTTAAAATAATCATCCAGTCATCGGAAGAGAGAGTGAGTTTCGTAGCTGTGTGTAAGTATTTTATGTTACTCAGGATTTAGTCAGGTTGGCTTCTTTATTCCTACCAAGCTTTTGTGTGATTGGCCTATGTGTTACAGAGAGAGAGATGTTAAAATCTTCCACTGGGTGAAGTTTTTCTATTTTTATAAAAGTTCTCTTGTTTTTTGTTATATATTAGGTTTACTTTGAGGCTATGATATTAGATGCACAGAGATTCAAAATTTTTATATCATCTGGCTGGACAGATCACTTTGCTCTTACAAAATATCCACTTTTTATCTGAAATAATGCTTCTTGACTTAAAGAATATATCTAATTCTCATGTAAGTTATCTGATCTTAGTATAACTATGCTAGCTTTCTTTTGACTATTTGTATAGCTTATTTGTTACTTTACTTTCAACCTTTTAGTATATGTACATATAAGGTGTGTCTATTAAAAGCACCAAATATTAGTTTTGAATACAGTTTGACAATACTTGTCATGTAGTTAGAATATTCAGTCCACTAATACCCAATGTAATTACTAGAATATTTTGTTTTTTCCTTGTGCTGATATTTCCTCCTATTTATTATCACTATTATTATTTTAATTATACATATTCATGGGGCACTAGCATGACCATTTGATACATGTATCCAAAATGTGATAATCAGATCAGGTTAGAATCTTCATCTCAAACATTAAGAATTTTTTTGATTAACACTTAATAATTGTACATATTTATGGGGTACTGAGTACTATTTCCACAGATGTATACAATGCACACTGTTAAAATTGGGCTAATTAACACTTTCCTCTTTTTGCTATTACTTTATGTTTGGAGACTTGAGCTTCTCTCTCTTATTTGCTCATGAAACACACAGTAAGTTAATGTGAACTTCAGTCACCAGAATGTTGTAGAATGCGAGGTTTTATTCTTCCTATCATTGTGCTTTGGTACCTGTGATCCAGCTATCCATTGGCCTCCCTTCTGCCCACCCTTTCTAAGGTCTAATAGTCGCTATTCTATCTTCAGATTGACTTTATTTTTACTAATATATACATATGTATATACGATTTATTTTATTTTTTATTTGAAAGGCAGGGTTACAGAGAGAAAGACAGGGAGAGAGATCTTCCATCCACTGATTTACTCCCCAAATGGCTGCAATGGCCAAAGCTGGGCGGATCTGAAGCTAGGAGCCAGCAGCTTCCTCAAGGTTTCCCACATGGGTGCAGGGGCCTAAGCACTTGAACCATCTTCTGCTGTTCTCCCATGCACATTAGCAGGGAGCTGGTTTGGAAGTGAAGCAGATGGAACTGGGACTGGTGCCCATAAGGGATGCTGGTGCCACAGGTTGGCTTTACCCATCACACCACAGTGCTGCCCCCTTTACTAATATATTTTCATGTAGCTATATACTCTTATTATGTATTTCCTATATTTTTATTCCTTTTCCTCTCCTTCCTCATCTTAATTTGGATTAATCAGGATTTCAGTTGGTTCCTCTTTTCCTCTCTATTTGCTTATTAGTTATATGTTATTATTTGTCTCTGAGATTTTAAAGACTTTAAAAAATTCTACCTGCTTCTACAATGCAAGAATAAGTTCTATTTTAAAGATGGGAAATCTAAGATTCCAGGACTCAAGCTTGAATTCAGTGACATCTGGCTACAATTCCATGCTCTTTCCAATTTTCCACCTTGCCACCAAAAACAAAACAAAACAAAACAACCAACCAAACAAAAAAAAAACACCCACAGAAATCCTCCCCACATCTTAAGTCTAATCAGTTCTACCAATTGAAGCTGCAACAACTAAATTTTTTCTCTTAATAATAGCATCTCAATTCTTTGCTGAAGCTGTAACATTCCCTCTCTGATTCAATACCCCCACATCACTTTGTTGCTCTTGACCTGCTCTTTCCACAGTCTGTATCATCCTAGATGTGCAACTCTGGGAGCTCCTCAAAACTTACTCAATTTAACTCTTCAAACATAAATTCACAGCATCCCATACTGTGCTGTGGTTGTCAATAAGATAAAGGCAAATAGAATGCTCTCTGAGACACCAAAGAGATTTTTTTTAAAGCAAAGAAGAAAAACTGATAAGGAATAAATAATGATAAATTTATCAGAAATAAATAAATAAAATGATAAGAAATACTGAATATTCAGATGGAAAGATTTCTGATATATGATTCAGGAATCACTTTTAATAAGTGAATTATTTATTGATTTTAGATATGGTGTTAAAATTAAAATGCACTAGGGGGTTGGTGTTGTGCCATAGTAAATTAAGTCACTACCTGCAATGCTGGCATCCCATATGAGTGTTGGTTTGAGACCTGGCTGTTCCACTTCTGATCCAACTCTCTGCTAACGTACCTGGGAAAGCAGCAGAAGATGGCCCAAGGGCTTGGGCACTTGAACCCACATAAGCGACCTTGAAGAAGCTCCAGGCTCCTGCCTTTGGCCTGGTCCAGCCTAGGGGGTTATGGCTGGGAGTGAACCAGTGGATGGAAGATCTCTGTGTCTCTATCTGTCTCTCTCCCTCTCTGTAACTTTGCTTTTCAAATGAGAAACAAAAAAAATCTTTTAAAATGTGCTAACAATATGCAGATAATATACAGTAAGATGTATGAGCATTATGTATATATATAACATATATATATATATATACACACCCAAATGTGCATTGTTCCCTGTTTACTTGGTGTGAATATTGGTAATAAAGAAAATTATTTTAAAAGCACAGCAGCATTTAGAGATAAACAATCTGTGTCCAAGAATCTAAAACATTTGTCACAGTCTGTGAGCTCTGGAGTTGAGACTGGAGCACAGCTTTTTCTGACTGCAGCTTCTGCCTTTTTCCTTTTTGTCGGTGATGAGTGTTTTTTGCAATTGGAGTGAAGGTTCCTCTAAGCTTTTTTTTAAAAAGTTTTTTTTATTTTATGTATTTATTTGACAGGTAGAGTTACAGACAGTGAGAGAGAGAGAGAGAAAAGAGAGAGAGAGAGAAAGGTCTTCCATCCGATGGTTCACCCCCCAAAAATGGCTGTAATGGCCAGCGCTGTGCTGATCCAAAGCCAGGAGCCAGGTGCTTCTTCCTGGTCTCCCATGCAGGTGCAAGGCCCAAGCACCTGGGTCATCCTCCATTGCCCTCCCAGGCCATAGCAGAGAGCTGGACTGGAAGGGGAGCAACCGGGACTAGAACCCAGTGCCCACATGGGATGCCGGCACTGCAGGTGGAGGATTAACCTAGTGCGCTATGGTGCTGGCCCCTCCTCTAAGCTTTTCTAACATGAGACGTCACATGCTTCTACTGGTTCACTCCAGAATGCAGACTGCCTTCACCAAAACTCAGGAATTGCAAGCCCTTTGAAAGAGAATTCAGAGGTAACTTGTTCCTTTCCATGTGCTGCCCAGTGCTTTCCCTTGAGTAAAAGTGCAAACAAACTTGGTATCGTCACAGCTGTTCTTTTCTTCTTCAACCCAAAAGCAATGCCAAGGGTGACTACTTCAGTGCACTTCTTATTCTAATGGTGTCGTTTCCCACCGGCATGCACCATCTCTTTGCCCCTCACTTGTGAGATTCTGGAGTCTGGTAGCAGGTTTAATGCACAATGACTGAATGTGTTCTAATAAGTCACATCTCCCTGCGCCTTCATTTGTAACTGATTATTCCTTATGATGTGTAGTTACTAACATGACAGAGTCCGCACTTTCTCTCTTACAGAGGATCCCGCCCTTCCCTTCCCCCACGGCTTCCTGATTTCCCAGATGGCTTCCTTATTGCCCTCTTCTACTTCCCCTTGGCCTCTGATTGCCCTACATCGGAGAACACCCACAGTGACCGGTGCCTGTCAGCCCAAAGCCTTAGTCGTGACAAAGGCCAAGCCTCCTCCCCATGCAGATGAGGAGTCCCTTCTCCCATAACGGGGATCTCTCCTGTTAGGTCTCTGTCTTGAACGTCTCCTGCTCTCCCTACACCACTTCTCTATCCCAGATCACACAACACTTACCAGGCCCAGCATTTGAAACTCGTTCCCTTTCACAAACCAGAGTGTCACATATGTCAAGGATCAATACAGTGTCTGCGGGGGCAGCTCTAGGGAAG